TAATAAACGCTTCCGCGATGTGGTCACCGTTAACAACAGCGCCCGCGATGTGGTCACAGTTAATCAAAGGGTCCGCGATGTGGTCACCGTTAATAAACGCGCCCGCGATGTGGTCACAGTTAATAAACGGGTCCGCGATGTGGTCACCGTTAACAACAGCACCCGCGATGTGGTCACCGTTAATAAACGCTTCCGCGATGTGGTGACCGTTAATCAAAGCGTCCGCGATGTGGTCACCGCTAATAAACGCGTCCGCGATGTGGTCACAGTTAATAAACGCGTCCGCGATGTGGTCACCGTTAATAACAGCGCCAGCGATGTGGTGACCGTTAATAAACGCGTCCGCGATGTGGTCAGAGTTAATCAAAGCGCCCGCGATGTGGTCACCGTTAACAACAGCGCCCGCGATGTGGTCACAGTTAATAAACGCTCCTGCGATGTGGTCACCGCTAATAAACGCGTCCGCGATGTGGTCACAGTTAATAAACGCGTCCGCGATGTGGTCACCCTTAATAACAGCGCCCGCGATGTGGTCACCGTTAATAAACGCTTCCGCGATGTGGTCAGAGTTAATCAAAGCGCCTGCGATGTGGTCACCGTTAACAACAGCGCCCGCGATGTGGTCACAGTTAATAAACGCTCCTGCGATGTGGTCACCGTTAATAAACGCGCCCGAGATGTGGTCACAGTTAATAAACGGGTCCGCGATGTGGTCACCGTTAATAAAAGCGCCCGCGATGTGGTCACAGTTAATAAAAGCGCCCGCGATGTGGTCACCGTTAATAAAAGCGTCCGCGATGTGGTGACCGCTAATAAAAGCGCCCGCGATGTGGCGACCGTTAATGAAAGCGCCCGCGATGTGGTCACCGCTAATAAAAGCGCCCGCGATGTGGCGAACGTTAATAAACGCGCCCGCGATGTGGAGACCGTTAATAAAAGCGCCCGCGATGTGGTGACCGCTAATAAAGGCACCCGCGATGTGGCGACCGCTAATAAACGCGCCCGCGATGTGGCGACAGCTAATAAGGGCGCCCGCGATGTAGCGACGGCTAATAAACGCGCCCGCGATGTGGCGACCGCTAATAAACGCGCTCGCGATGTGGCGACCGCTAATAAGGGCGCCCGCGTTGTAGCGACGGCTAATAAACGCGCCCGCGATGTGGCGACCGCTAATAACAGCGCCCGCGATGCGGCGACCGCTAATAAACGCTTCCGCGATGTGGAGACCGTTAATAAAAGCGCCCGCGATGTGGTGACCGTTAATAAAAGCGCCCGCGATGTGGAGACCGTTAATAAACGCGCCCGCGATGTGGCGACCGCTATTAAACGCTTCCGCGATGTGGAGACCGTTAATAAACGCGCCCGCGATGTGGAGACCGCTAATAAAGGCGACCGCTTATAAAAGCGCCCGCGATGTGGTGACCGCTAATAAAGGCGCCCGCGATGCGGTGTATGGGTCAGAATTTGTCAGGGTTTTGACGGTGTATAAAGCGCGCGCTATGTTTTAAAACGCCGTCCAGAGCGGCGTTTAAGGGTTTTCTTTTCGCCGTCAGGTAAACGCGAGGCGCCGCCAGGCGTTTTAGAACGTCTGACGGCAGCAGCGCTTAGTTAGCGCCACCACGCGTCTCATAAGCAGAAACGACCTGAATATACAGATCCCCTCCTTCCCCAACAGGTTCAGCCCTGGCTTTAGTTTGGTTTGCCTAGTTCGAAACATGTGCTCGTGATTTCGTATCCACTGTACAACCTGCAACCACGATGCCTGTAATTGTTTCACCCGAATGAGCAGTCAGAACATAATGAAAGCTGACAGTACGAGCAGAGTGAACACATTCACCTCTCACAAGTTCTGCTTTTGTCCATCTTGGGGAAGGAAAGTGAACAACCTTACAGCAGAGCTGTCCACAGGCCCACATGTAGGCTACACTGCCTGCTTTCTGCATGTATGTATACCGGGAATCAGACCGATTAGGAGTGCGCAAAACCAGCACCGTCATCAGTGGAAGCAATAGAAATTCTCCTGGCTATCACTGAGTTTTGAACCGGGCAAACCAACTCTCCGTATAACCCACCCCATGGAGCCAGGGCTGAACCTGTTGGGGAAGGAGGGGGTCTATAAATTCAGGTCATTTCTGCTTATGAGACGCGTGGTGGCGCGCCTGCTGCCGTCAGACGTTCTAAAACGACGTTCCTCGCGTTTACCTGACGGCGAAAAGAAAACCCTTAAACGCCGCTCTGTACGGCGTTTTAAAACATAGCGCGCGCTTTATACGCCGTCAAAACCCTGACGAGTTCTGACCCTCTTGGTTTGCCCTACCCCACATCGCGGGCGCTGTTATTAGCGGTCGCCACATCGCGGGCGCTTTAATTAGCGGTCTCCACATCGCGGGCGCTTTAATTAGCGGTCTCCACATCGCGGGCGCGTTTATTAACGGTCACCACATTGCGGGCGTGTTTATTAGCGGTCACCACATCGCGGGCGCTCTTATTAGCGGTCGCCACATCGCGGGCGCTTTTATTAGCGGTCACCACATCGCGGGCGCAACCTGTGTTGGTTGTTCGTTGATGGGAGGATTTAAATTTTTTTGTCTGATTTTCTTTTTTTCTTTTCCATCGTTCCAGTTGACTCCTCAGTAAATTATCCAGCACTATATTAGTTTTATTTTTTGAAGCGCTTCTGCTTTGTTCAGGTACATTTGTTCTGGGCTGTTCACAGAACAGAGAAGGTCAGTAGATTGATGGTGGGGCAAAGTCAGAAGCCCCATTCTCAAAAGGCTGAGACTGAGAAGGAAGTGAGAAAGTGAGAAAGGCATGAAAAAATACACCATACCTGTTAAAAGACATCGTAAAGAAATGTTGAATTAGCGTTATAGTTCTCAAACATTCATTTAATATGTAAATGGTAAATATTAACTATATACAATTGTATTGAGTTATTGCCAAATGAATAAATCCAGATATAAATAAGAAAAAAGTAAAAAAAAAGAAATGAAAAAAATATTCTCACAGATAGAATTAACATGATGTAATTCAAGTGTTCTTCATTTCATTGACACTAATAAACATAATTAAATACAAGTGTTAAATACTTTGTAAACATTATTTGTCTTAATAATGTTGATGTTTATGGTTTATTAATGTTAATAAGTGTAGTAATTAATTTTCATCAAAGCATTACCAAAACAGTTACAGCAAAAGAAGAAAGAGAGTAGGAAAGGAAATGCAAAAAGAAACAAAAAACAAAAACTTGAACTCCTATTTATAAGACAGGGACCGCAAACATCTAGACGATGAAATGTTCATTACACAATTAAATATTTAATGTTATAATTTCTACAATAAAACTGAATTGCTTTCCCAGTTATTTCCATACGCATTTAAAGTTTGTCCTTTTTTATTATTTACATACAAAATACCCATAGATTTGCAATAAGCCTACAAAACAGAATATCAATACAATGCTTAATTATCTTTTCCTGTCAAGTTTCACTAAATGTGTGGTCTAGTTCAGCACCTTAAATAGAGTGTGAGTGTTAAACAGAAGCAGATCAGCCAATCAGGGAGCTACAGCAATATAAAGATTAGTCTCTCATAAGGAGAAAATATATATATTTCAAATATATTTATAAAATATATTTTTGCAATACATGAAAATGGCCAAAAATGTATTTCTTAAATATATATATTTAAAATTTGCATTAGACGATGTACTTCATAAATACATATGTGTATTTTTCTATAGTACCTTTCTTTGTGTAATATTTCCCTATAAATTTTAATATCATATATTTTAAGTGCATTTTAAAATATATTTACTAATATTATTAACATGGCAAAATAAATGCATTTGTGTGTCTGGAAAGTATTTGGCGAGGATTGCAATTTATTTGAAATGTAAATGTAAATTTAAAAGCGGCGGTGAAATGAGCGTCGCTAATAAAAGTGACCGCGATGTGGCAGCTCAGTGGCAGCCGCGACCTGACGCTTCCTCCCGTCACCCGGCACGCAGAGATCCAACTCCTACTGCCTGCGATTCTCCTTCAACAACACACAGTTTCCTGCTCAGCCGTTTCAGCCGGTTCTTATCCTAATAACAGGCTGGTGCTGATGTGCAGGAGAGACAGGGAGACTGAGTGTTTCTTTATGGGTGAATCGATATGAAAGTAGAACTCCACCAACTCACCGCCCCTCATTTAACACGAGGAGGCGCTGCTTCACTTCGCAAAGCCTTTGGCCACAATACTGCGACCTTTCCTGGAATTAATGCCACTTTAATGATGTAATTCTACGACTTTCTTTCTCGAAATATTACGACTTTTTCTTCTCAAAACATTACTTTTTTTCTCAAAATATTACGACTTTTTTTTTATTTTACGCCTTTTTTATTTTAGACTTTTTTTCTCGAAATAATAAGACTTTTTTTTTCAAAATATTACGACATTATTCTCGAAATATCATACAGTACGAGTTTTTTTTCTAAATATTACGACTTTGTTCTCGAAGTCTACTCTTTTTATTTTTATCAACAGAGGCCCTAAAACGTCGTACGTTTCACCGTCCTACGTTTCACCTGAGATGCACTCCATTCCCCAAAATGCACTGCAACACAACATGCGTTCTGACCCTTTCCCCCCCAACAACAGTATATGGGCCGGTGATTACACCAAACAGAGAGTTTAAAAAACTACCTAAAACTATTTTTTTTATTTAGAATTATTTTTGAATAAGTATTCATTGGGTACTTTGCTGTAGCAAGTTTATCATATCTTGAATAAACAATGCCCCACTGGGCAAAATGGTAAGTAAAAATGAAATAAAAACACAGCTGGGCCACAGATGTGCTGAGCTTTTATTATATTTAGTGGTTGAGTTTGACACGCCTGGTGTAGGGCATAGAGAATATGGTGTAGGGTGTAGGGTGTAGGGCGTAGGTTGTAGGGTGTAGGGTGTAGGCAGGATCACTGAAAACTGAGCGCGCCCAGCGCCGAGATCCACTCAAACGAAACTGAAAGACAGAAAGACAGCAGAGAAAGAGGGACCAAAGCTCACTTTACCTTCAGCAGAGAAGAGTTTTGTGGTGGAGTCCGGTAAGTTTATAACGGTTTGTCCGTCTCTGTGTCGCTACAGGCCTGTTTTTGGTAAAACCGTCCCACGTTTGGGTCGTTTTTAAACGGACGGACTGAGATCCACTGAAGAAGCGGTTTTTGGCGGGAAACAGAAACAGCGGGAATAAATCGGGCGCGCGCAGCTTTAGAGGTTTACCACAGGCAGGTTAGTGCTGCGCACTTCAGTCATATCATTTAACGGTATTTCTACTGAATTAGTGAACATAAACTCCCTGTTTATTAACACAAATATAGCAGATTTAGCTTTCATTGGGCTTCCTCGTCCACACGCTGCCCATTGTGGCTACCGGAGATATTCTTGGTTTGTTTGTGTTGTCATGTAATCAAATATTAGCTATTGCTAACGCTAGGTGAAGTAAGACGTTTTAACTAACGTTAGTTAATCACTGAATATCAATTTTAATGTATTTTAAGGTCTTGTTGAGGTTGGCATTGTGAAATAATGTAACTGTATGTGGTCAAAATAACATAAACTGGTCGAAAATAGCTAAGCTACGCTATTTTGGTGGGCCTTTGACCTCTGTGGTGTTAGTGTCAAAGATTAATAAGGCTTAAATTTGGAGAAATTTGCAGAGTATATTGAGGTTTTTAGTTATTTTTCAGTTTTGTTATGCAATTCTATCTTAGTGAACATGTTATGCTGTACTGCCTTCAGGTCCTCCTCAGAAGTTTCTACTTAGCTTAGCTACGACACCGGAGGTCGTAAGTACGACTTGATTTGTGTTCAAGGGGTTGTGGTTGAAAGTAAGATAGATACACTGGAAATAATGGTTTTCTATCATTAAAGAGTGTGTATTTTGCGTTACTGAAACAAACCGAAGAGCAGAGGATACTTATGAGCAGAGCAATGTTTATTATGCAGTTATGTATCACAGAACGTGCTTATATCTGTATTTCCATGTGTGGATGGTTTCAGCCTGCAGTGTTAATGTTGAGGCTGATGAAGAACTGAAATACAGCCAGTTTATCAGCAGCTATCATTGCTTTTTTGTTGACACGCCACCAACTCGGAAAGTTGGGGCTCACTGAAAAATCAGAGTTCCCCACTAGTAAATAGGACATTGAGGTGGGCATTCATCTGGTAAATCCAACATTTTTGACAGGACTTGGAGGCAGCGTTATGCTAGTGTACATTAAAAGGGAATTTCATTGATTTTTAAGAAAATCTGTATCACTTAAATGGTTAAGATGTTAACACAGTCATTCAGAGTCAGAAGAATGTAATACTTTCTGAAGTGCACATTTGAATCAAGTAAATTCAAAACAACATTTTTTCAACGTACATCTGACCCTTAGTGTTTAAAGGGGGATTCCACCAATTGTTCAAAATTTCTGAATAATTCGGTGAGAGGTGAACGAAGTCTTTCAGAGTGGTTTGGTGTGAAATGGTTCAGATTTCTTTACAGTGGTGGTGATAGGAACCAGGGGTTGCCATGACTACAACACAAATATAGACATTTTATTTACTATCCAAAACCACCAGTGAACCTACACGAGTCTTCTGAGTTTATATGGAATGTTGATGATGGTAAGAGTCATTAATCTGAAAAAAAAAAAAAATTTCTTTGGGGACTATTTTGCCTTAGAACACCCCACATGTACCTCTCTGCCATGAATGGATTAAAAATGGAATAAAATACATTTTAAGCCAAGACTTTATCACAAAACTGTCATAAATGAATGGCTCAGGCATCAGGCAGCGTATTCATAACCATTTCTGTAACTGAGCTTTCAGAGGTTTTAAACTCTTCAGATGTCTGGTTCCTATCACCACCACTCGCTATAAAAAAAGAACAAAAATGGGTTAAGTTGAATTTAAAATAATGTTAATGAATGTAAAACACTTATTATTCATTTGTCAACTTAGTATTTCAAGTCCTATGAAGTTAACCTGGTTACCTTTTAAGTTAAAGTGCTGCATTTTTTTTTACAGTTCTGTGAACAGTTCTGACTCTAGAGCAGAGCATTTCACACCAAACCACTCTGAATAACTTTGTGTACATCTCAACCATTTAATTATGTAGAGTTTTTGAAAAATAGGTGGAGTTCCCCTTTAAGTCTTCTCCTTTCATTTTGTGCTTTTACAAGCACTGTATTTTTTTGTTTGTTTGTTTCAGACCATGTTTTTATGACCACTGACGATGAGTGTCAATGGAGAGAGTGTGGAAGAGGGAACCTGCCTCTCTGGAGAGAATGACGAGGGTGGTGCTGTTCACTCGGAGACCAAGAGAGCAGCATCTCCTGTTCCTAGCTGTGCGTCCATGAAGAGTGACCACTCCATATATGAGCCTCCAGCTTTTAATGATGGAGCAAAACGCTCAAGGTAAGATGTTAGAAGGTTCAGAGATCCTTGGTACTGTGCACACAGAGATGAGGACAGTTTTTCCATTTTTATGCGTCTTGTCAGGTTGAAGACACAAAGAAATGCATCACCAATAACTAGTTGTGTGTCCATGAAGAGTGACCACTCCATGTTTGAGCCTCCTGCTTTCAGTGTCGGTAGAAAACACCCTAGATAAGACGTTAGATGTACTGTCACACTACAAGTTAACACATTAAATGATTAACACCACTTTTTTTCCTTTCTGCGCTGTTAAAACATATTTCTAGTTTGACTCTTTAAACCTGTAGTTCCAGCCCTAAGCCCAGCTGCTTGTGTCCTGTCGCTCATTCAAATACAGCATTTAACTGGCAAGAGCAGTTACAGACATACAGCTGTGTGTCTATGAAGAGCAGCCACTCTATGTTTGAGCCTCCTGCTTCCAGTAATGGACCAAAACGTTCCATGTAAGACATAAAAGACCCCAGACACAATGTATGCTGTTTATATAACTTGTCAATCCTGTCACTCTGACTGCCTTGCCAGATGTTTCATGGACAGTGTTCTCTCACTACAATACCCAGCATGCATTACACAAATACATTATGATACCATTGGGAACCCCTGTGGTGTCAGCTTGTTATCATTTCTAGCCCAGCCACTGATAAACCTGTTAATAAATACAACCAAGCTAGCATTAGTGATCTCTTACATTGGTTATTGACAAGGATGATAAAGAAAATTGTAAAGAAGCCTGCACCCAAAAATCCACTCAATCTCACCATGAAGATACGTCATCAGAAGAGGGTTTTTCTAGACTTTAAACTGGAAAATGTCATTCTGTGACCACTGTAAGATGCATGTAAGCATGTTTACCTCAAGCTATGTTTTTAATTTTGGCCTGGCGTGTCCCTTTAAGATGTAAGGCTTATGAGGTCAGTCTTGATTACGTAATCCCGTTTTAGTCTTTAATAATAGTTGAAAATTCAGATTAACTTGATACAGCAAGCACAAGCTGCATAATATATACAGCATAATCACAATACCGTATTCTGATTATAATGCTATATGTTGCAGTTACAATTTGCCTTGAAATATATTAAAACACATTGTGGAACCACTAATGACATGATTAAAGACACAGTAAACGGGCTCATTTGCATTTTGCAGTTTTCTGTGATATCAGTATTCTCCAATATCAAAATAATGATTAACAAACAATATATTCTGCAGCTCTATTGGTAAGAAGTTAAATGGCTCTGGAAAGATGTTAAGTTCCATATGTTGAAAACTATAGAGACAAATACTCTTTTTTGTGTTTTGCCAGGTCGGAGAACCAGCAAACAGCAGCTGCGGTTCCTAGCTGTGTGTCCATGAAGAGTAACCACTCCATGTTTGAGCCTCCGGCTTTTCGGGATAAAGCAAAACGACCGAGGTGAGATATTAGCAGGTTCAAAAACTTGTGTGCTGTTTGCACAGAGATGAAAGAAGTTTACCTTTTTTCTTCTCATGTCAGGTTTGACAACAAACAGGAGAAAACGGCATCTTCAGAGCTCAGCTGTGTGTCTATGAAGAGCAGCCACTCCATGTTTGAGCCTCCTGCTTTCAGTAATAGACCAAAACATTTCACGTAAGGCATGAAAGACCACAGACACACTGTATGCTGTTTATATAACTTGTCAATCCTGTCACTCTGACTGCCTTGCCAGATGCTTCATGGACAGTATTCTCTCACTACAATACCCAGCATGCATTAAACAAATATGTCAATATGTATTTGTTAATATTCTGATTAACTTGATAGAACAAGTGTAATCTGCTCACAAGCTGCATAATATGTACAAAATACAGTATTGTGATTATATTGCTAAATATTGTAATTACAGTATGCCTTGAAATATATTAAAACAAATTCTCATTTGCATGTTGCCGTTTTCTGTGATATCAGTGTTTTCCAATATCAAAATAATGATTAACAAACAATATATTCTGCAGCTCTACTTCGTAAGAACTTAAATGGCTTAGGAAAGATGTTAAGTGCCATATACTGAGATCTATAGAGACAAATACCCTTTTTTGTGTTTTGCCAGGCCGGAGAACCAGCAAACAGCAGCTGCGGTTCCTAGCTGTGTGTCCATGAAGAGTAACCACTCTATGTTTGAGCCTCCGGCTTTTAGGGATAAAGCAAAACGACCGAGGTGAGATATTAGCTAGTTCAAAAAAAACTTGTGTGATGTTCACACAGAAATAAAAATTGATTTTTTTTTTTCTTTTTATGTCAGGTTTGACACCAAACAACAGAGAAGAGCGTCTTCAGAGCTCAGCTGTGTGTCTATGAAGAGCAGCCACTTCATGTTTGAGCCTCCTGCTTTCAGTAATGAACCAAAACGTTCCATGTAAGACATAAAAGACCACAGACAAACTGTATACTGTTTCTATAACTTGTCAATCCTGTCACTCTGACTGCGTTTCCAGATGTTTCATGGACAGTATTCTCTCACTACAATACCCAGCATGCATTACACAAATACATCATAAAACCATTGGAATACTTGTGGTGTCAGTCTGTTATAACTGCTAGCCCAGCCACTGATCAATCCATTAATAAATGCAACCAAGCTAGCATTAGTGATCTCTTACATTGGTTATTGACAAGGATGATAAAGAAAATTGTAAAGAAGACACCCAAAAATACACCCACCGTGAAGATTTGTCATCAGAAGAGGGTTTTTCTAGTCTTTACACTGGAAGATTTCAGTCTGTGACCACTGTAGGATGCATATAATCTACGTTTACATGCAGCCTGATAATAGGTTAATAATCTGACTAATTGCTTAATCGGAATCTGATTGAATGAGGTGGGAAATCCTGTCAATAATCTTTTAAATAGAAGAATAATAACCTTGTAAACGCCTGTGTCTGATTACATTCCCAGTCAGAAATTTTAAGTACGTTCTGTGCGTGTGTATTTGTGTCATAGCAAACAATGTTCAACATGGTGGGAGCATTATGTCATCTTTTGCTGTGAAGGAAAAGCCATGTGAGGAGTGTGGCATGTGACAGCAAATTGCATCTGGAAATCACAGCAAAATTGTTTTTTTTTTTTTTATTGATTTGTTTTGTTTGTTTTTTTTCAAAGCGTAATTTTTGTATAATTTTATCTCACATCTCTAAGGCGTCTTTGGTTTGTTTGTTTCTTTGTTTTAGATGTGGACTCTGTGGTCAGATTCCTAAAGATCCAGCCTCTAGCAGCTGTGGACACTCTTTCTGTACCCAGTGTATCAGCAGATATTGGGACCAGTCAGGTTCATCCGGAAACTCTGATTGTCCTCAGTGCAGAAAGAGATCTGGAACAGCACCTTCTTTACAGCCATCCAAAAACATAGATTCAATGGAGCATAAACAACCAGGTGAAGATATTCTGCAGAAGGTCTTGATGAATCACAAAGCCAGTATGAAGAGCAAATATGAGTGCTTATTTGAGGGAATCCCAACACACGAAAACAGAACACTCTTAAACAGCATTTATACACAGCTCTACATCATAGAGGGAGAGAGTGAAGGGGTGAATGAAGAACATGAAGTCTTGCAGGTTCAGAACATGTTCCAGGGTTGCAACAAAGGCATCCCAGTCAGCTACAGTGACGTCTTCAGACCCTTACCAGAACAAAGTCTTGAGAAAGAACATGAAAGAAGTGGACTAGAAGAGAGAAAGTTTAAAACAGTGCTCACTAAAGGCATTGCTGGCATCGGAAAAACAGTCTCAGTGCAAAAGTTCGTTCTTGACTGGGCTGAAGGAAAAGCCAATCAGGATATAGATTTCATGTTTATGCTTCCATTCCGTGAGCTGAACTTGATCAAGGATGACCAGTATAGTCTTCATGGACTTCTTTGTGTTTTCCATCCAGAGCTTAAAGAACTTGATCCAAAGGTGTACGATCTGTGCAAAATCATGTTCATACTAGATGGCCTGGATGAAAGCAGAATTTCACTCAACATCACAGCATCATCACAGAGTAAGATCATTTCTGATGTGAACAAGAAAACATCAGTAGGCGTGTTGATGACGAACATCATCAAAGGAGAGCTGCTTCCCTCTGCTCTCATCTGGATCACCTCCCGCCCAGCGGCAGCCAGTCAGATCCCCTCCCGGTATGTCAGCCGTGTGACAGAAATTCAGGGGTTCAATGACCCTCAGAAAGAAGAGTACTTCAAGAAGAGGATCCGTGATCCATATCAGGCAAGCAGAGTCTTCTCACAGATTACGAAAGCAAAGATGCTGTACATAATGTGCCACATACCAGTCTTCTGTTGGATTTCATCCATAGTGATCCAGCAGATCCTGGAGCAAGATACTTGTGGAGAAATTCCAACAACTCTGACTGAAATGTACATCCATTTCATGCTAATACAGACAAAAACAAAGAACCTGAAGTATCATGTGGAAGATGATGAGAAAGATCTGAGGAAACGGGAAAAAAAGATGATCCTAAAAATTGCTGAACTGGCCTTCAAACAGCTGATCAAGGGCAATATCCTGTTCTATGTAGAGGACCTGAGAGAATGTGGCATTGATGTCACTGAGGCGTCTGTGTATTCTGGAGTTTGCACTGAAATCTTCAAGGAAGAGTCTGTGCTGTACCAGAAGAAGGTCTTCTGCTTTGTGCATTTGAGCTTTCAGGAGTTTTTTGCTGCTGTTTTTGGATTTCATGCCTGTGTGGAGAGGGAAGCTGCGGTAGTGAAGATGTTTCAGAGTCGTTCAAAATCTAATGGAGGATTCGTGGATGAATTTATGATGTCTGCAATTGATAAAGCTTTGACGAGTAAGACTGGACACCTTGATCTCTTCCTCCGCTTTATATATGGCATCTCGCGGAAGTCCAATTGGAAACTCCTCTATCACATAGTGCCCCCCAAATGTAGAATCTCAAAGGACTTTCAGGATACCATTCAACGTGTCCGACAGAAGCATCCAAAGAAGGTCAGCCCTGAGAGATGGATCAATTTCTTGCACTGCTTTATCGAAATGAAGGACACCTCTTTTCAGAGAGAAGTCAAGAATTTGTTGAATGCTAAGAGAAAGCTCACGGGATGGGATTGCACAAGAATAGCTTACTCATTACAGATGTCCGAGGAAGTACTGGACAAGTTTGACCCAAAGAAATACAAAACATCAGATGAAGGTCGTAGGAGACTGATCCCAGTTGTGAGGAACTGCAGAAAGGCTTTGTGAGTTAACTATATTCATAGCTAGAAACAAAATGAAAAGATTTTATACTTCTAGGATTTCTAAAATAGTTTAAAATGCCAGGCATTATGAAATTTAGGGGATAATTATTGTTATTTTTAAAATGTTGGTTTAGAGTGCAAATAATTTGTTATTTATTGTGCTTACAGACTGGCAAATTTTAAACTCACAAAGCAGCACTGTGAAATAGTTATCTCAGCTCTGCAGTCAACAAACTCAGTCCTGACAGAGCTGGATCTGAGTTACAATGACATCCAGGATTCAGGGGTGAAGCAGCTTTGTGAGTGTCTGAAGAATCAACACTGTAAACTGGAGACACTGAGGTTAGTGTTTAGACTTTCACTGGGATGCATTTCACAATTATATTTTCTAGAAATATGGGAATTGTTCACCAATGCCAATATTTGATATTATCATGTACATATCTGCAAATAATGATACATAAAATTTAGAAGTCAGGGCCACTTGGATTAACAGTATTAAGGTTTATTTTATTTATTTATTTCTGTAGGGTTACATGTGCAGTTAAAATGATAAAATGCAGACATTACAGTTCCACGTGTAGTACAAGAAAGTGTACAAAAAAATGTCATCAAATACCAGTTTATCAAATATCTTAGTCAAATTTAACCGTCTATGTAAAGCCAAAAAATTATTAAAGCAATTATCTGCTGATATCAATATGATTTCATTGTCACAGTGCACGCCTATATATTTTATTATTAGTTTTTGTTATTATTTTATTTTTTTTATAATATGAATAATTAACACTATATCTCAATGCAGGACCTCTGAGAGGTGTGCGCCCCGCCTTTTTCACCTCAATTTTTTTTTACTACAGCATCCAGTAGAAAAGGGCCAAGAAATTGGGAACATATATAATTTTTTAATAAAGTATAATTCTTTCTTACATGTTTTGTTTGTGATAATTAGAAAAAGGCAAATAGTAGCGTTTTGGTAGGAATATCAAAGGTATTGGATCCAAAACGTTCAAACCCTAGTTTCAAACCCAGCTCTAATTCCAAACTAAGTTCCTTCCTTCATCCCAGTCATTCACACATGATACAACATACCTCCAAAATGATCCAGCATCTTGTAGAATCTATGCACAGACAATTTTAAATAAATTTAGATTTCTTAAACACTCTGCATTCGAGAGCTGTGACTGTCACTCATTTGAATGTTCAGTTTTCCTGAGAACAGCAGAATGTGAAACAGTATGACAAAAAAGTTATGGCACCCAGTGCCTTAGTGTAGATCTAACTGGCTGTAAAGTGCATCTACCAAGAATCTACTGTTCTAGTTGGTACAGGGTGTGTCTGTTTGCTGACATTATAACTGTAAGTTTATACTTTAAAAGAACGAAATTTTCATACTTTTTTTTAGGTTGGTGATGTGTAATCTCACTAAGAAAACCTGTGAATATGTAGCACCAGCTCTGCAGTCTGCAAATTCAGGCCTGAAAGAGCTAGATCTGAGTCAGAATGACCTGGAAGACACAGGAATCAGACTGCTTTGTGGTGGACTGAAAAGTCCTCACTGTCAGCTGGAAACATTAAGGTTAGTTTTTAGTTCATGAATTATTTGTTTATTTTATGTAATAGCAAAATATGATATCAACAACACTTTGACTAGGTGTGACACAATTATTATAGATTACACAATAACATAATTCTTTCAGTTGGCTTGAGGCAAATACATACACATATTGCAAAAGACAGCTTCTATGAGACCTCTATTAAAACAATGGACCAACTAACAGTTGAAATGAAATATAATGCTGAGTACATTGTTCATTTGAACTGGGGCTTTCCCTGTCATCGGTTGATAGTCCTTTGTCTATGGTAGAAGACAAAAGACACTTGAAGTGAATTTTTTATTCTTCCATGTGAAGATTAAGTTACCAATCACCCATAAGTGCACCATTTAACATGCGATTTGACATTTGGTAAATGTGTGTGGTAGTTTGCACCTACATAATCTGCACGTTACTTGTATATTGGGTATTGTAGTTAAATTAATTCTACATTGTTTGTATTTAATGCTGCCTTTAATACTAGAGAAACCCCAACGGCTGGAACCCAATTCCTTGTGTGTGTCAACATACTTGGCCAATAAATCTGATTCTGATTGTGATATAAACTTGAACAGTATGTTAAATGTGCCAGTCGTTATTTTTAGAATTATCACTTTAACATGAACTAGCTTGGAACCTAATTCTAACTAGCAAGCAAGATTGCTAAGATGCTATTGTATTCATATGTTTTTAGATGCTTTAGGCTTGCACTATAATAGAAGCATAAAGTAAAAAGACAGTTAAATAGTTTGTCTTTTTTGCAGGCTGTCTGGTTGTTTGGTCACAGAGGAAGGCTGCGCTTCTCTGGCTTCAGCTCTGAGTTCAAACCCATCTCACCTGAGAGAGCTGGATCTGAGTTACAACCACCCAGAAGAGTCAGGAATGAAGCTGCTTAGGGCTAAAGTGGACGATCCAAACTATAAACTGGATGAACTGAAGTATGTAATGAATGTAGAGAGCATTATTTGTCTATCACTGCTTTAGCGATACTGAATTAGTACTACAGTAGACTGTGCTTGGCTAGGGTGCAGTACTCCTTAAAGCCTGCCGGGGCTCCTGAGTGGTGCAACCTAAACTTTGGCCCTATCATCAGGAGATCACGAGTTCAATCCCTGGTGATGCTACAGCCGTCCGTGGCTGGGAGTCCAAGAGAGCACAATTGGCCTCACTCTCTCTGGGTGGGTAGGATGGCCCCCCATCACTCAACTCGACGCTAGTCAGCTGACATAACAGGTCTGGTGGTTGGTGCTTTCCTCCGAGCGCGTTCGGCTGTCCAATGACATTGCGTGCGGCAGTTCTAAAAGATGCGGCAGCTGGCTTCACAGGTCTCGGAGGAAGCCTGTGCTGGCCTTCATTCTGTCCTAGCATTGGTAGTATCATGTGATTGGGGGAATCCTAACTAGCGTGTGGAATCGGAGACCATTAAATTGGGGAGAAAATTGGGTAAAAAAAAAAGCCTGCCAAAGACACTTCCACTTCTGGCGGCAGGCTTGCACTCGCTACCCCAGTGATGCCACATGCACATGCACTTTCTGCCATAATGGCAGAAGCAGTCCAAAGGCACATTAACATTTCACTGTTTCTGCTTAGCGATACCATCACTTAATTCCATTTAATGTACCTCCCTGTTGAAAAAAGTCCTGTAAAGTCATTAAGTGTCTGCTGTTTCCTGGCGGTGTCCAGTAGTTACTAATAGTATTCTGTGTTTTCCTGATTTGTTGATAGTGCAAAGGATTCTATTCATTCAATCATGTGTTCTGGCACTGATTGTTATATATATGACAACCTTAATACACATTCAGTGTAACTCTTTGCTCAACAGTAAGTAGTTTGCTTTTTTCCTCATAAAACAGACAAAACACTGTTGTTGCAGGGCGCATATTGGCATCATTAATAGGCTGACAGTGCATGTTTATGTAATTTTAGCATATTTTTAGTAGCTAATGGCCAGTTTTAGTGTCCATTCAACCCTACTGTGGTTTGAATACTACATTGTTGGACGCTGTGTTGGAATGTCTGGCAGAGTGAGGCTGAATGAACACATGCCAACTTTTTGCAGCGTGTAATGTTTGCGTCAATATTTTAGTAGATTAAACTTTTTAAACTTCTGATTAAATAATAGTTGGTCATATCAGTAAGGGGTCGTTGAGGGTTGTACTGTGAACTTTAAATGCATGAAAATTGTCATAGAATTAGTTGTTTCCTAAAAATTTCCTAAAAAGGGTGGTTCGGCGAGCACAAATACATTCTGGGTGATAAGCCCAGCTGTCAGTCAGTGAAGCTTCATGATGGTTCCTGTGATGCTGGTGAAGCTGAATCTGAACCCTCCAAGAGCGACTGGTGTTAGTTCATAGTCGTGATCGTTTACCTCTGGATGAGCCTCGTGAAGCAGCGTGAAGCTCTGTTCTTTTGCATATGCAGGTCAGTCTAGGAGCTAATCTGTTCAGATTGTTGCATACAGATCACATTTAAAAGATAATGTGAAAAGTTAAACTAAAAAAATCTGATTTGGTGAGAAAATCAGATTTGGGCCACTTTTACCTGCTGTGTGAACATAGCCTTAGCTTCCATGTTGCAGACTGGATGTGGCGGAGACACATGACGACAAACGTGGTAGTAAGTTTTTAAGGGGACAGTACATGAACACACAGAGTGGGGAAAGGATTAGCAGAATTTAAAAATATCAAAATAACCATCATGGGCAAGATTACGTCGGTTATCTGAATGTCGGTTTCGATTAATTGCCTACTGGGAGGAGATACAGAAGCATTTGGACCAGAACCAATCGGCTCAGGTTCAGCTTCTTTTCCTGCACCATCACCCTGCTGAACTCCACACCACTCCACTAATACTCATACTTGTATGTTGCACACAATATTTATTATCTGTTATCCCTTGCGTTTCCATACAACAGACTGTTCACTGTATATAGAGTACAACACATAACATACCATATATATACTGTATTTATAGTATTATGTGTATGTATACATTTATATATCATTCATAGATATATTTATAATTGTGTATATATTGTTCATACAGTTACATGTTTCATAGACACGTCATATTTATGCCTGTTATTGCTACTATTTGCACTTCTGGTAGATGCTAACTGCATTTCGTTGCCTTGTACTTGTACTGAGCGATGACAATAAAGTTGAATCTATCTATCTAGTAGTGTTTTCCACTACCCTAACATTTAACCCCTTTAAAATCTCAGGCTTATTACATACTAAGGCTATTAATCAGTAACTACAGGTTAAGGAAGTGTGCAATAAAACTTTGGCCATTTACGGGGTTAAGTCTTTTTTTTTAAGTAAAACTAGTGTTGTATGGAACTGTAAACCTGAATAAGATCCCATACACAGTATAAGGAAGATTAAATAAAATATGAAAACCCAGGAATAAAGGCTCAATACCCAATAGTGAAGTTAAGACAGTAAAGCAGTTGGAAAGATAATGTTCAATGTCACTTTTAGGGAAAAGAAGAACTTCTGTTTTTGTTTTTATTCAGTTTGTTTAATGTAATTGTGTGTATGGTGTGAACTATCTGTTCAGTATCTATGTGATGAAGTTTTTAAATCCCATATTTGTGTTTCCATTCAATAGCTTTAACTATGGAGGGGTGTTCACAATGAAACCAGGAGTACGAAAATGTAAGTTTTTACATGCGCATGTATGAATATCCATGCCCCCTGTTTGCAATGAAAATTCTACAACCCTATTTCCAAAAAAGTTGGGACGCTGTGCAAAATGTAAATAAAAACAAAATGCAATGATGTGCAAATCATTTAAACCCTATATTTAAACTCTATAAAAAAACAACTGGTGGTTAATTGGCAACAGGTCAGTAACATGATTGGGTATAAAAAAAGAGCATCTCAGAGAGGCGGAGTCTTTCATAAGTAAAGATGAGGAGGGGTTCACCACCCTGTGAGAGACTGCACCATCAAATAGTGCAACAATTCAAGAATAATGTTTCTCAACATAAAATAGCAAAGAACTTTTGCTTTTCATCATCTGTCATACAAAATAACATTAAAAGATTCAGAGAATCTGGAAAATTTCTCTATGTAAGGGACAAGACCAAAAACCAGTATTTGCTGGCCGTGATCTTTGGGCCCTCAGGCAGCACTGCATTAAAAACAGATATGATTCTGTAGTGGAAATCACTGCATGGGCTCAGAAACACTTCTGAAAACCACTGTCTGTGAACACAGTTCATCACTGCATCCACAAATGCAAGTTAAAACTCTAAAACACAAAGAAGAAACCTTTTATAAACAGCATCCAGAAACACTGCCACCCTTTCTGGGCCTGAGCTCATTTAAAAAGGACTGAGGTGAAGTGGAAAAGTGTTCTATGGTCCGACGGACATATTAAAAGACTCCGGGTCCTAAACTAACCTGCCTGCAGTCCAGACCTGTCCCCACTGAAAACATTTGGTACATTATGAAATGAAAAATACAACAAATGAGACCCTGAACTGATGAGCAGCTGAAATCCTGTATCAGACAAGACCAGGAAAACATTTCACTTTCTAAACTACAGCAGTGTCTCCTCAGTTCCCAAACGCTTACAGAGGGTTGTTAAAAGAAGAGGTGATGAAACACAGTGGTAAACAGGCCCCCGTCCCAACTTTTCTGGAATGTGTTGTTGGCATCAAATTCAAAATGGGCAAATATTTTTCAAAAAACAATCAAATTTCTCAGTTTCAACAATAGATATGTTATTTTTTGTAGTATTTTCCTTTAGAAATATGGTTTACATGATTTGCATATCATTGCATTCTGTATTTATTTACATTCTCCACAGCGTCCCAACTTTTTTGGAAATTGGGTTGTAATTTCTGTCCTTGTGTGCAGATGCCTGCGAACTCACTGTGGATCTAAATACGGTAAACACGGAACTGGTCCTGAGCGAGAACAACAGAAAGGTGACGTATGTGTGGGAAGAGGAGAAGCAGCAGTCCTATCCAGATCATCCAGAGAGATTTCAATGCTCTCAGCTGCTGTGCAGAGAGAGTCTGTCTGGACGCTGTTACTGGGAGGCTGAGTGGAGTGGCCGGAGAGCTGGTATAGCAGTAGCCTACAAAGGAACCACCAGGAAATTAAAGTGTGGTCCTGTAGAATTTGGAAGTAATGAAGATTCCTGGAGCTTGTTCGGCTATAATTACAAAAAGAAATACTCTGTCCACCACAAGCGCAAGAAAAACTTCATACATGCCCCTCGCTCTTGCAGCAACAGAGTAGGTGTGTATCTGGACTGGCCGGCTGGCATGTTGTCCTTCTACAGTGTCCTCTCTGATGGAAGCACACTGAGCCATCTGCACACAGTTCAGTGCAGGTTCACTGAGCCTCTTTATGCAGGCATTTTTGTTTATGACGCTTCAGTATCTTTGTGTCATTTATAAAGACCTGTGGTCGGTATAATGCAATGGGTAACACTACTGTACTGGCCTCCATGTGGGACACAGGTTTCATTCCCCGTACTGGCAAGAACACCATGCTTTACAAACTAGAGTCTCTCGTGAGAATCCTGACACTACATTTGTTTACCTCTACTTGAGTAAATCAGCTAGTAATCTCTGGATCTGGACCACAAAAGACACAGCCCAGCGAAGTCTAAGGATTGACATTAGGGTTTTTTCAAGGGCTTATTCTATAGACAAGTAAATCCACATCCAGAATCACTCGTTAATGAAAATTACATGTATTTTAAAAAATTGCATAAATGTATTTAAATGGTACAGTTAGCACACAAATATTTAGTGTACGTGTGAGAAGAAAGTGAGAGAATTTCAGTCTTTCTGCTCTTCTCGTTCAGGAGAGAGAAAGGAAGAGAAAGAGATTTTAACCTATTCAGTTTAAACAAACGTTACTTGCAGGGTTTCAATTCAAATGTTTAACACATTTTTCTTAATAATTTCCAGGAAAAAATGATGGGATAAAAAAATGCCAGTTAATCATTGTTTCCATCTAATCATTCATTCATTCAGCTACTGTTTTGTGCAAATTCCTGACAATGTTTCATGCTTGCATCATACAGCACGAAACAAGTCTCGCTCAATGTGTGTGGCATATAATGAGGCATTCAAACTTTTAAAACCTTGTAAAAGTTGACAGCTGCAGCCCTAATAGTTCATAGATTTTGAGTGGTCAACACTCACTGTGAAACGTGACTTTTGTTTCTGCTATGTCAGCAATTAGTATACAATTCTGTTTCCATCATAGTATCTCTCTTATTGATAAACCAACTTTTTCACCTCATTCAAGCATGAAAACATTTAGATTTTGCAATAATTCTTTTAAAATTTCTGTATACACCTTTTTCATGCATATTTTCAAAATTCGCATAAAAGTGGTGGATGGAAGTCACACAATTTTCTCAGCTTTTTCCAAACATATACTCACTAATATCAGTCAGTTTAATGATTTCCCTCTCTCTCTCGCACGCTCTCTCTCTTACACTCTTACACATATACATGTTTCCTCTCTGTCCTCTCAGTCTAGTCACTCGATTTTCTGAGGTAAATCAATTAGCACTAAGTGACCAGTGGGAATGCTAATGTTCACTGGAAGTAGTTAAATGGAACACACTAACTATCTAGCATTAACTGAGTTCTGCTTCTTTACTCTGCTATTTTATCGAGTCATGTGGTTTGATGGTTATGTTTGCTGGTAACGTAGCTACTTAGCCAAATTGGAGTGCAAACAGCTGATGCAAAATACCCCTTGTTCTTCATCGTAGCTTGCCCAATAAAATTCATGCCTCCAAGGTGAAATAAATTCTTGTTCTAGAGGAGATATACACTATATGGCCAAAAGCAATTAGGTTCAGGTGTTTCAGACACACCCATAACCATGCAGTCTCCATAGACAAACACTGGCAGCAGATTGGGTCGTACTGAAGAGCTCAGTGACTTTAAATGTGGAACTGTCATAAGTTTCCACCATTTTCACAAGTCACTGAGAAATTTCAAGTCTTATTTTTGTGAAATGGAGTAACAACAGCTCAGCCACAAAGCGGTAGACCACGCAAACTCACAGAGCAGGGGTGCAGATGTTTTCCTCTGGAGTGATGAATCATGCTTTACTATCTGGCCACCTGATGGATGAATCTGGGTTTGGTGGATACCAGAAAAGGGGCTGTTGTTGCTGCAATGGAGTAACTCCATATTGATGCCCATGGCATCACTTGTCCATATACTATTGGCTATATAGTGTATGTCAGCATTAGCCCTTGGATTGGCTCATTTCAGAACTTTATCTGGCGCTTAGCCAGGTTGTGGAGGTTTCAAAATCCTGATTGATAAGCTGAGCTGTTCCCGCTGAAGTGAACCCCTCAGATCTGATGAAGATATAAACTTATTCACTGTTTTTTGTTCTTAAAGTGTTCACGTCTCTTAGAGGACATTCGTTTGTTTTTAATTTAATTAATTTGCTAGCCTGTTTGTTCATTTTACTTTTCAAAACCTGCTGTGTCCAATCATTTCTCTGTTGGAGATGGATCAGTTCTCAGAATATTTGCTATTGTAAGATGTCCTTATTCATGGCCAGTGCTGGGTTTAGTTGAAGAGAAGGAAAATTTCCCATGCCTATACCTTTGTTTCATCATCTGTCTAGATTTTGGACCATGCATGTCAACTGGCTCATAGAGGACAAGACTGAATACTTAGATACTGTAATGTGGTATTGAATGACACTGAACCTTTGTAGTAATTTGTTCGGTGCCCTAAAGATATTCTATTCAAATTAGCATTTGTCATAATAAAGCATACAATTCTGAAATTGTACACTGTAAAAGCAATGATGTTTGCACAGTAATGTTGAGATAATGTTGTAATAGGTTAGGTGTATCGAAAACGGAATAAACAATGGACGAATACAGAATTTAAGAAGTATTAAGTTGTCAAAGTGGGATTGTAGCAGACCATTTATTACTGACATAAGTTATTTCAGAAGAGCAGTGCGTTTTCTATTTATGTTTTGCAGAGTTTAAGGAGAGGACCTTATGCCACATCCCAACCCACACCCCCCCAACCTGTCCTACCCAGTCCTACCCATTTCCTAAGAGCCCATTTTAAATACTCGTCAACCCCTGCCAAAGTTTTTTTAAACACTGTGTCCACTCACTGTCCACTCTATTAGACACTCCTACCTTGTCAGTCCACCTTGTAGATGTAAAGTCAGAGACGATAGCTCATCTGCTGCTGCACAGTTTGTGTTGGTCATCCTCTAATCCTTCATCAGTGGTCACAGGACGCTGCCCACAGGACGCTGTTGGCTGGATATTTTTGGTTGGTGGACTATTCTCAGTCCAGCAGTGACACTGAGGTGTTTAAAAACTCCAGCAGCACTGCTGTGTCTGATCCACTCAGACCAGCACAACACACACTAACACACCACCACCACGTCAGTGTTACTGCAGTGCTGAGAATGATCAGAAATGGTCATTTCTTTCCTGTCTGCATGCAGAAAACCATCTAATTTTGGCTTTGGTGTTATTGTAATGTTGGTGTAATGACAACATGTAACACTTTATCAGCAACATTGTTTGTTTTAAAGGTCTTGAATTTTTGGTTTAGAGCAGCAGTTCTCAGTCGTGGTCCTGGTTTTGTTTTGTCTTTTTTAATCACATTTTTTGATTTGCCACACTGAACTGGGCTCATGAAGGTCGTGATGATGATGATGATGATGATGATGATGATTGAATCTGAAGTTGATCCTGAAGTTGATTCTGTTTACTGTAGCTGGGATGGAGAACCTCTGCTTTAGAGATGTATGACTGAGCTGTATACGTACAATAAACGTTTACACACTGATGTATTGTTTTAACTCTGGCTGCTCTTTTGTTCAATTTAATCTGCCGTCTTTCGGTTCCACACCTTCAGCGTTTACCTTCATGAGCTCATTTTAACCTTAACACTATAAAAACAATCAGACCAGACTGTTACATGAATTTTCACTGATTTTGACCAGCATTTGGTAGCTGAGCTAGAACCTACACCTTTAAAAAAGATGGTTCTTCAAAGGTTCCTAAGTAATGAAAATGGTTCTGTATAGAACCATAAGCACTCAAAAAACCATTCGCATGCTTATGGTGAAATGCTTCTTCAGATTGATAGAGAATGCGTTGTATATGGTTCTGTATAGAACCTTTTTGAAAAGGATTCTACACTCTTAACAAGAGATAGCTCTTCAAGGGTTGTTTAGTAAAGAAAATGGTTCTATTGGTTCTATATAGAACCTTGAACATTCAAAGAACACTTTGCATGATTTAACCCTCTACTGCGCACATTATGAGAGAAATTTAAAAATATATATTTAATTCACTTTTTTGCATAAAATGTAAAATGAAATTTTTTTCAGACCTTTTTATTAAATTCACACACACTTTCTAAGCCAGGGGAGCTGGAGCCTACCCCAGCAGTCATTGGGTGGAAGGCAGGATACACCCTGGACAGGTTGCCAGTCCATCACAGGCCAAACAGACAGACATACACATTCACACCTAGGAGCAATTTAGCATGTCCAATTAGCCTGACTGCATGTCTTTGGACTGTGGGAGGAAACCCACACAGACACAGGGAGAACATACAAACCCTACACGCTGGTCGCCCGGCCGGGAAATCAAACCCAGGCCCTTTTTGCTGTGAGGCGACAGCGCTACCGTACCACCATTTGTTAAATTCAAAAACATAAAGAAAATTACAGTAATAATACATGTAGAGGGTCCTTTTGGATTATGTTGCCTTGAGGCAACATTGTGCAACAATGGGAAGAAATGGTATAGAGCCATGTTCCATGAAGTAGTGAGACCTGGCTTGTGACTGGCTAAATACATTCCACTGTCGCACAACGTTGCTTCTAGGCAACAAACATATTTCTGCAAATTCTCAAAAAAAAAAGATACTGAATGTTGAATAAGAGGTTTAAAAGTGCCCATTAAGAGATACTATGACCAAGAACATGCTTTTTATTGACATTCAAACTCTTTTCTTTATAGGTAACCATATTGTTGTCTTTAAATATGTATAATGTCATTGTAAAGTGAGGAAAGTTGCCCTGAGGCAACATCATGCTCTAGAAGGTTAAGGTTCTTTGCATCATGATAGCGTTCTTCAGATCGATGGAGAATGTGCTGTAGATGGTTCTAAAAAGAACCTTTTGGAAAATGATTCTTTGTAGCACCCAAAAGGTTGTAACAATAAAAGAACTCTTTTGGGTGTTATACAGAACCCTTTTTAAAAAGGTTCTATATAGAACCATGAACACTCAAAGAACCCTTTGCATGATTAAAGAGTTCTTCAGACTGATGGAAAAATGTGCTGGAGATCGTTCAATACAGAACCTTTTGAAAATAGTTCTGTATAGAATCCAAAGGGGCTATTCTATTGTTACAATGTAAGGCTGTAAGGGTCCAGCCTGTGCTGCCGGCCGCCAGCAGAGGGCGACAGTGGCAAGGTGCCCAGCCGAGGCAGCAAAGTGCCATAACTTTAAGGAACT